GGGCCAGAGGCCCCAAGCCCCAGCAGGCAGTCACCAGGCCAGGCCAGCACATGCCCCAGCGCCCAGCCCCAGACCCCGAGAACCCCCATCACGCCAGCAGCCAACCGCACACCCTACCAGGGGGCCGAGTAGCAGCGGGCCCTCAGACAAACCAGCAGTGAGGGGCGGGCCAGACCCCAGCCTGACAAATACCCAAACATACACATACACAATTGCACCATCCCACCCTCATCCTCACACCCACTCATTCAAAGACATACAAGGACGCCACATTCCACTCATACCCCCGACACACTCTATACCCCCCAGGTCCAGGACATGCACCCACCCCCTACAGGAGGCAGCACACACCCGAACCCAGGGGGTAGGCCCAATCATTCTGGGGTGGAGAGGAGCAGATAGCCAAGGCCCGGCCCGGGCCGCACCAGGCCACCCGGCCAGCCCCTCGCCGCAGAGAAGCCACGCCCACGACTACCCCCCTACACCGCCAATGGCCAAGCGCACCCCCCAGCCAACCACCCACCAGAACCCAGCAGCCACCCCGGCCAGCGGGCCACCCATAGGAACAAGGAGCCAGACCTCAGGAGACCAAGCAGCACCAGGGAGGATGGAGAGCCAGCCCCGCCCCCGGCAACCGTCCAAGCCCCGATCCCACCCACAGCCCAGGARCGCACCCGGCGGCCCGCSCTTCTTCAGGACCCCATCCCCAAATGGTCCATTTTAATATGTGTCGAAGTTAAACTTGTTGTGCCTAGAAACAGGTGTAAAAATTGTTTCTGCTCTGGCAAGTTCTTCAGACTCAACGGTTTCCATTTTTCCTTCTGTTTAGCGAGAGCCAAGGTTGTGCCGTAGTTTTTCCTCTTTAGAAAAATTAACACACGAACCTGGCTCGGACAGTCTGAGAGAGAAAGAAGACGAGAAAACAGCTTTTTTTTTGTCTCCGTTCTTCCTACGGGAAGGGCGGCCAGACAGAGGTTTTTGTCTCAATTGCTAATGAGAAAAATACTCTGTCTTGGTTTGATGCACGCCAGCCTCAAGTCACCTTTGAATTTTTTGTCCTGAGAGAGAACTTGACCCTGGACCCTGGTCTCTTGACTAAACGGCAGATTTTCTGAGATGCTGAACCCACAAACCCTGGAGTCGTACTGGTCTTAAGCCTCCTGACCTGGATGTCTTAAGGGACCGAGTCCTCCTGACCCAGGTGACTGACGGTACACACCCAAGTATAAAGAAGCTGGTTTTGTTTGTAAGCTAGAAGATCCAGCCGAGTGGGAGATGCAGATTCTGGGCTGTTCTGGTTCTAATTTTGATAAGACAACTGATAAAAAATAAACCTTTACTAATCCACTTTTTCTTAACTTTTCTCAAGCTTACCAAAAGTAAAGGGCCTGTAAAACTGAGTTTAATAACATATAAAAGCCTGGTTTACTGTTTTTTCTGTTACAGTTTCATTAATTACTTTGGACGCAAAGTATTTTTGTTAATGTTAACTCATAAAGTTCTAATTATTAGCCTTAATTGTATATAGTTAGTTCATTTGTTCTGTAAATAAAATAGTTTATTTTAGAAAATTGAAATTGAACTGACTGCCTTTTCTCACTTTGATTCTGGGAGGTATTGGTCTTTCATAAAAAGAACCCGTTTCAAAACAGGAAAAACATGGTTAAAATTTAAAGAATTATTTAAATTCATTGCTTGTTATAGATTCAGGTTGTATTTCTTTTATTTCCCACCCTGACTTAACTGAAAACGTATTTTTATAGAAACTAATGGACTGGTTAACTTTTTAATTATTTTTAAAAAGCTTTTATTTTCTAAAAATCCTGTCCAATTCTCAGTCTGGTTGTTTTTTTTCCATCTGTCAGTTTGAGCATTTTGGCGAGGATGATGACAGCAAAATTTCTGCATGGAGAAATCCGGGAGAAGGGTGGAGCTTATGGAGGCGGGGCCAATATGGGAGGCGGCGGCGTGTTTTCCTTTTACTCCTACAGGTCGGGTTTGTAATGGAACATAGATCCTGTCCTGATTTAGACATACTGTGAATCTAAGCAGATAGGAAAGATGTTTTGGATTTACGTGGTGACTTTATGCTTCTGTAAATATATTGTTTTTATTTGTTTGTTTTGTTAATGTTGGACTCAGATCAGATTTGTTTTAACAAAAATAATAATTTAAACTCGTAGTAAGAGATCGGCATGCCAATTCTAAAATGAAATTGTTTTGAAATATTGTGCAATCCAAAAAGCAACTCTGCTTTATTAAACTAGCTTCGGTTCTGCAGGGATCCGAACTCTGTGCAGACATTATCTGCATTTCATAAAGGAGTGGAGTGGGTCAAATCAGGACAGTTCTCTCAACAAGACGTGGATGAAGCCAAGCTGTCTGTCTTCTCTCTTGTAGACTCACCTGTGGCCCCCTCAAACAAAGGTAAGACAGCATCTACACAGAAGATGTTCCACACAATACCTTCTTTGCCTGAAATCTGTCAGTGATCTTTATTTTGGCTACAATTAGAATCATTTCTCCCACTTTTTTCTTACTTTTAGCATGAATTTATACTGATGCTGTGTAAAGATGGTAA